ACCGCCAACTCTTGTGCTACTCTTTTATCAACGAATAGTGGTAACATTATAACACCCCCACGGCTGAAAGGTCGAGCATGTTTGGTGTGACGGGGATTCGAACCAGCGACCCTCAGATTGCCAGTCGAGCGCCCTAACCACCTGGCCATGCCGGGTCTCACACCATACAAGGGCGTAAGTTGCGACTTGAAAACTTCTTTATTTTCAAGTACCACAGAGCATTTTGAAGAATACTCTTTTGAACAGAGAAAAATAATTTTCACGTTGAACAGTTTAACCTTAGTTTGGTACAGCCCTCTAGTGGCTCAGCAGTAAGTCTGAAGACTTATAACGCTAAAAATTGAGTTTCTTTACCCGCGGTGGGCACAACACAGATAGCCCATTGTGTAGCTTTGTGCTTAATAACATGTTTGGCACAATGAATGACGACTTAGGACTATCGCACAATCATTGACCAGTTTCTATTTTTAATTTGAGAATGCTTCTTCTCTGAAAGAATTTAAATAATACAGAAGTGTTTTAATTAACTGCATAACAATGTTCATAAAAAACAAAATTTTAAAAGTATAACACTAATTAAAATCGCGCAGAATATTGCATCTCCAAGTTAACGAAATATAGATATGGAGATATTGCACTGATTTTAGCTAGTATCCAAACACTGAAGCTGAAGCTGAGGTTCCGTGTTTTGATCCCCGTTATTCCAAAATCAAAACGAAAATAGAAAAAAAAATTAGCGGTCCGCACTTTGGAGTCATGTGTGTGTTATAAGAGCAACGGTTAAATTTAGTTATTCAATTAGAGAAGTCCAAGAGTTGGGGGCAGGTGGTTTTGACTAGCTGTCTATCACTTCAAAATTAGAGATGATTAACGTAAATATCTTCTGAATAGTTTATTTTTTTTTGCAAAATCCAACAACAACAACCATTTTGATGAGCAAGCACGAAACAAAATATATCAGAAAACGAGTGTTCAACGTTTCGTAGTAATTAGGTTAAACGTTAAATATTTACACCACGCACTACCTACGTTATTAAACTTCCTGTATCCTTATGGGTAATCAGTTAATAAATGTTATGAAAAAAAACAACAACCTTATGAACATCATGACAACAAAATGGCTGCAACGACGAGCCGTACTTAGACTTTAGCCATGGAAATTCTTTTTGCCATTGCTAATTTCAAAAGCCCCTTACCACCACAGATGTGGCTGAAGAGAGGGGATACTGGGTTTTAGCTACCTCCAAGAAATTTCGGGTAACATAATATTTTTAGCTTTGTTCGTTTGCTTTAAGCAGTTTCTTGAATTATAAAGTTACCAGTTTATTCTCCAACTTTACCCGAAACGTTTTCCTGGCTACAGCACTGCCCACCTCTCACAATGAGTTTTTGTTTTATATTATTTATCTCAGTTGTCTTATGATGACAATCTTTATCAATGCTTAACTTCGGTCAATATTTTGATTCCACATTCTGTAATAAATGTCCCTGATAACAAAGACATTTGTTTATCACGTTGCTAAATATAGTGCATCTCACATTATATCTCGTCAAAAACTCGCAGGAAACTATTACCATGCTTATGATCAGTGCAAGAACTAATAATTCTGTAATAAACTACTTTGAATATATTCATAACTTTTTCGTTGAAAAACTAATATTACCAGATGTACTTCCGCAGGGTCTCCGAAAGGGTTCTGTTTCAAGAGGAAATAAAACTAAAATTAAGAGTAACAACTATTTTTATTTGTTGCTTTTGAAGTTCACGTGTCATGCTGTGTTATAGGCTACCGAGTGCATAATTCGTCTCGTGATTCATGGCATGCGCACATTTCACTGACGTCACGACATTACAAATTGCAACCTTAAGCGTCCCTCATGTGAAGTCATTTTAATGTCTACTGACTGACTGACAGATAACACACTATTGTATAGTGGTGCGATTGATTAAAAGGTGACCTCTCCAGGCCTCAAACATAACTATATATTTTTTTAGTTCAGGTTTGAGATTTTGTTATCTTTGCATGCCTGCTATAAAACTCTATTATAAGATATTTAACGGTTACACTTGTTATAATCTCCAATACATATTAGGTATTATTAACCTGAAAACCGTGAATATAAGTGTTTTATAACGTCTAGAAAGAAAACGAAAGTATTCCATTTTTTTAATAACAAATTATAAATATACATTATTAAGACGAGAGAGTAGATATACATTATAAAGACAAATCCAAGGGATTGAAAGCCTTCACAACTTTTATGCAAATTAATTTGAAACACGAAATATTTCCCGAAAACAACTTGCAATGCTAGTTTAAACGTGTGTGTAGAAGACTAACTATCAGAGTTCAGCTAGGGAGTTTATACACAAACAGCTACTATGTTAGTAAATACCGTTTGACTGAATGTGACTATAACCGCTATTAAGTTTTCCAGACTGCATTCAAAAGGAAAAATCAAGTTTGGACTTTTTGTTGGTTTGTTTGTTGTTAAGCGTAAAGCTACACAATATTCTATCTGTGCTGTTCCCACTGCGCGTATTGAAACTCGACTTTTAGTGTTATATAAAGTGTGTCAATTGAAGTTTATTTTTTGTAGGTATCTAATGTGTATAAATATATTATTAGACAAGAATTTATAACTTTAAGTTTATTTTCAGTTAATAAATGTGAAATACTTTTTTTGTGGACTAACAATTGAGTTGGGTAATATCGATATTAAATCACATGTGGAATTTAATAAAATATGCGATTATGGGATATTATATATTTATTTACTGGAAGTGCTTACCTTAAAGTTAGTATTTAGTTAGGTACAACGCTGCGATAAGAATAACTATAATAAAAATAATTAGAGTTTTATAAAGAAATTCTTAACACAGCAATCTAAAATAGAAAAAGAAAATAGACGTATTATATCCTAACAACATGAGAGCCTTAATATAATTTGATAAAATATGCGATAGGTGGCGCTTTACATTGTGATGATGGTCTATATCAATATAGAAAGTAATTTATTAATATACATGGACAATGACGAATAGCACATGTCAACGTTTTTCGATAAAATTAGTTTTCTTTTAAAAAGAAGGATGTATTAAAGAAAGGATATCTTTTAATTAGTTGATAAATTATACGTTTTTGCGATAAAACACAGGATGTTGTTTCATTTCGATGGTATACTTAGATAAATATTATTAATATGAAGAACGTTAGAATATTTTAAAATCCCCATTTCACGCCTTTTCTTTCTCTCTCTTTCTAAGTACAGTTTATTAGCTGCACATGGATTTACTGTTTGCAATAAATAGACCTAAACGAGTTTTATGTTTCACCCAGGACAGTCTTTGGCAATTACAACCAATAAATGAACAAGATAAAACTTTACGAGACAAGTATGTCAAACACACATTGCCTTAACCCACTTTGCAATAACAAAGATTTATTAGTTACAAAAGATAGCCATTCTAACCTATTAAAGTTAACCTTAGATACAACTCTTATCAAAAGTCTTACAGAAAATCACTCGTCATATAACTTGTTACTAAACTTTAATTTTTCTTAATGCATATAATTTTAAAACTCTTAATGTAAAACTAACACTTTTGTCAACAACTAATGGAAATAACGCGTTTTTAACACCTAATTTTCTAAGAATCTTCTAGAGATTTGCATATTAAATTCTGAACGTATGTGAGATTTTTGAATATTAATTCATGTGTTAGTTTTATATTTTCTCTAGCAATAACTCGAGCAGAAATATTTGGATGCCGAATTGAATACTTTAGAAATGTATTTGTTTTATCTGAAAAGCACTGCTGTCTTGTAAGTCATCAGAGCAAATTAATAGGAAGTGACTGTTATTAATAATTTTTCAAAGTTATTATTCAAGCGACTCTCTTACATGCATATATATATATATCATTAAAAAATCTAGGAATAAGTATGTTTTTATTAGCTTTTTCTTTTAAATAGAACCAAAAAGATGACCCTTCCCCAGTGGCACAGCGGTATGTCTGCGGACTTGCAACGCTAGAAACCGGGTATCGATACCCGTGATGGGCAAAGCACTGATAACCCTTTGTGCTTAACTACGAACACATAAACAAACGAAAAACATTAAACTTTCCTATTTCAATATACAATGGTAAAAAGGAAAGCAGTTAGAATTACACTGTACTTATCTCAGTCTACATTGTTGATTATTGTTAACTGATAATATTATTTAAGTCGTTGAGAAAGGTGCACTGTATTATGGAGTGGTTATACTTTTCTGTACTTTATTCGAACACTTACCCACGCTGAATGGGTAGATTTTCGAATCAAATGTGCTTTTTTAAAGCAGTATCAACAAAATACTAAAGTTACTAATTAAAGGACTGTGACTAAATATTTATTGATAATATGGTCAAATTACATAAATTTACATAAATTTTGTAATGCAAAAAGGTTGTGGTTCAAGTGTCTATGCCTGGAAATTTTCAAGAACTTGTAGTGTCTAAGTAGAGTTTGAAATTCTTTCGATTGTACGAATAAAATCTTAAACGTGAAGCTTTAAAATTCATTAACTTAGGGAGATCTTTTGATGTTATTCTATGTCAGATTCTTTTGTATAGCGCATGAGTAACCCAATATAACATTTTGTCTCTTAAATATATTTCCCCTCCAGTGGCTCAGTGGTAAGTCTACAGGCTTACGACACTAACATGCGGGTGGACGGAGCACAGATAGCTCATTGTGTAGCTTTGTACTTGACAAAATCAAATCAAACATATTTATTGAATAGAGCTTGAGAATTTTTATTAAAGTATTTTACGCAAGAGATTACCATTCATCTTGAAGAGATGTAACGACCTTAATCCATTGTTCTTCAGACATGCGTTAGCAACTCTATACATGACCTCCAGCAACAACTAAAGCTGTTGTAACAACTCTAACTAGTCTGGCTATATCGATTTTTTCGATTTTAGGTAGATAGATTTGTAGTAAAATGCTCGTTGTAGGATTCAGTTGCCAGGCGTAAGGCTGCTATCTTGATCTCTCTATCACTGCTATATTTTGTACTTATTTCTAATCATTCAGAGTTATTAGCAGCTGAATCACTTCTAAATACGAATGTCTTTGAATAAATATCCTCTATTGGTTCAGCGGTAAATCTGTGTGCTTATAACTCTATGGATCGAGTTTCAATACCCGTTGTGGCAGAGCAAAGACAGCCTATTGTGTAGCTCTGCAATTAACAATAAACAAGCAAATCCAGCATGCACAACAACTACTGCGAGGAAAGCAACTTTGAGACCGAGAAAAATATGTTTGTTAAATATTAGTTTGTTTAAATCATTTAAGGTTTGTTAAGACAATATTTAATGACTAGTTTAAACACAACTTATGATTTCATATACATTAAAATGGAAATTAGCTAATCCAGTTCAATCAGTTTTTTCACTCAGTTTTTTATTTATGTTTTAGAAATGTTAGTTTCGTAAAACATTTAACTATTACGTTTATGATTTTCATCAAAGTTCATAAATGCATTCTGTTCTACTAGTCAAAATGTTACTTCTCATAGGCTTATTAAAAAAGATGTTACGCCTAATCAATATTTACTCAATCAAATACACAGATAGAGGGAAATGCAAGTGAAAATAAAATATCTGTATTAATTAAATGACCCTACTTGTTCTTGAAATTTCCTAAATGCTAATCAGAATTATACGTTAGTGTAAATTATTACCTTGTTAATCAATGTAGTGTGTCACTTTTATTGTAGATGGGGGAATGTTTAGGTTGAAGAATGACTTGATTTTATTTTCAATAGAACTCATATTCTCCACTAGCGGAAATAATCAGAACTATGAAATATAGAGTAAGATGTTTTTCAGGCAACTGAGGACGAGAATGTGTTACTTTATCACTTAAGTAATGATTTGCTTAAAAATCAGCTTTACTTTCACTGTTGTTTTGCCCCAGGAGAGGGAGAGCCTGAGAACAAAATAGGGTTACTGCAAATATAGAGTATTGAAAAACATCTGGATTAATATGTAATCCATGTTTAAAGAAAACAGAACTTGTACAAGAAAAATCCGCTTATTCTTAAAGCTCCAGAATGTTCTGACTAAAGTTGATTACTTGACAGGTGGAAATAATTTCGAATATTTTGAATATATATATAATAGTTGTTCCAAGAAAGCTAGAAACATAACTCTAAATATATACGAATATTAGACTTTGTCACATCAAGAATATATTTATTAGTAATAAATATTTAGCGGATATGTATGAAAAGTAGATATAAAATAAAATAAACATCATATCTGGTGAAGATATTTCAGAGAAAAATTGTTTGTGTGTAAACGAGGAGTGATTGACATTCTATGAATTGTTTAAAATAATGTGATTCATATCAACTTTGAGTTGTTGACTGACATTGTATGAATGAGTTACAAGTAACACGCTTCATATTAACTTGGATTGTTGACTGACGTTGTACACATGAGTTAAATTATTATTCATATGAATTTTGGGACTGTTAAACTTGATTTTTTACTGCGTCTTAATCAGGAAATGTTATTTCTGTACACAAGACACTCATAGGATGTCACTGTGTTCAAAACCTGTTACTTAACATGTTCAGGATAACATATTGTTGTTTATCATTTTACAAAATTAATAAATCCATTAGTTATTTATTCTAATAATAATACAAACCTCACTTAAACTGTTCCAAAGGCTATGAGCTGACGTAATAATAACGTCATTTCATTATAAAATAATTTCAACACTGGCGAAGTTTCAGCTATAATAATATCTGTTTAACGAATAGGAACATTAAGTAGTACTTATAGGACTAGTCAGTATTTAGACTAGCATCTGATAATGGAAACGAAATGAATTCATTTAATTACGCTCAATGCTATCATTCACGTTATATAAGGCAATTCATTAAAAGTTGTTAAGCACTAAAGTATCCTGTAACGTGATCTTTCTGTATATATGATAATGCGTTATATGATTGTATATTTGATAGTATGGTCTAGAATTATATCTATTAATGCATTTTGTCATTATATGTACCCGTATATTCTTATCATTACATATAAACTGATACAAACTATAATTATATTGAAAATACCTATATATTCTAGTTCATTCCGTAATTATAATCCGCTCTTGTATTATTTTATTTATCTACATTAAGAGCATTGCATTATTTGGGCTCGGCTGTTCTTGATTTTTTTGTATTTCTTTTCAAGCACATTTTATGACAGCAAGTACATTAAAGGGATGGCTTTGATGTGATTTTTAAGAATTTGATTACTTGCAGAACTGCTGTTTATCTTCTGAGCCCTTTGAAGGTAGGAAATGTGTCCCACTGGGTTTTAATATTTGTTTAAAACTAGTAATTGCTTCTGGGCATACGGTTTTGTTGGTTACAGGATCTCTGATAACACCCGAGTCGTACAACAAATTTAATAAAATTACCACCGATATTGTAATCAATCTCAATAATTACTGGTGAAATTTCCTTATATATCTATTTTACATAACACGTAACTGATTCCACCCAATTGATTTCTGTCAGTTCTTCAACAAAGGTGCCTTTTGATCCTTGAAATGGAAGCCTCTTTCCAGTCCTCTTTGCTTATTCCAGTCAAACATTATCTATTTTTACATAACGTGTATCTACCATCATCAATGCAACTAAACTTAGGGGTGATGGTTGACTTTCAAGAGAAACTGTGTGCTGATCCAAACTTTGCAGTGCAGTATTACATAATCTGAGTTTCATCGTACACATCAAATAAGCACCTTAACATATTACTAAAATCTAAAGTTTGATGCAATTCGACGTTGCATCAACTAAAGGGACAATGCTTATCTGCCCTTCCCGAGTTTGACTTCAAAAGCCACTGCTAGTTTTGCAGTGATTTATGAAACGGAAAGTTATAAAAATAATCTTACTGGCTAAAGATTGAAGACGTGCAATTTTATGCGGTACTGTTGTTCATAGCCATGTAAAATCCTTCAAAAAGGCAATATCGGAGACTTGCCATACACATACTGACAAAGGGACTGACGAAGTTCGAATTCGAGTTAAAGTACTTGTTAGTGACATTATTCAGAAATACACACCATTTATCAAAGTTATGGTGGCTCTTTTATGTTTATAAGATACTGTTGTAAAAGTATTTCACATATGAAAGCATCAGGCATCCCAAGTACACTTGTTTTTCGTAATAAAGCAAAATATGTATTTAAGATGGTTGATGATGAGGAGGTGGACGACTTAGATAATACAATAAAGAAAGTGGTTAAGCAAGTGAAATAAGAAAGTATGACAATGCATCACAGTAAAGACACATACCTGGTTAAAATGAACACCAATATTGCCGAGGAATATACCAGTCATATAATTATGAATTTTCTCAATAACTTGTTACGAAGTGTGGATAACAAAGCTTGATGAGTTCCAATGTGATTACTGGATTATTTATTAAAATCTTAGCTCCTTTACAGATAGTCTTTTGGTGGGTCAGCGGTATATTTACGGACTTACAACGCTAAAATCTGGGGTTCGATGGACAGAGCACAGATACTCCATTGTGTAGATTTGCACTAAAACTATTAAACAACTTTACAGATAACGAAGGAAAACGAGCTGTTTCAACAATTGATTACATTTGTTATGTTAGATGATGTTAAGGTTTTGCATATAAAAATACCACTGCTAGAGAATTTGTTTACGTATCACATGAAAGAACTAGGCTTTTACAAATCACTGTGGACAACTTTGATGTCAATATTTCTAGTCAGAGCGGCTTACAATCCACTAATGCATTGTAACACTACTTACATGTAATAAAAGAAGAAAAGAAGGATTTCCAGAGACAATAAGACAGATAAAGAAAGAAGAATGACAAAGTGAAAGCATAATATAGCAAAGAAGTATGTTCTGTATGTCATACTCTTCCAGATCTTGGCAATGCAGATGATCTCAAGCAGAAAGGTACGAGTCCTTACTCGAATAATAAGTGAGGCAGCTTGCCCAGAAACAACAGTTACTTGAACAGGGATGATGGTGGTACGGTCAGGTCTCAAACCACAAATGTTTATACCCTACATTTACTTCCTTTTTTGTAAAGTTTTTTCTTTACTTGTCTGCTTGTTTTTCTATTGCAGTGTTTCAATAGACATAGGAACGTTGTGTTTATAACCAAGTTCTAAATACAATGAGGCTCCAACTGTAATATTTATTGTTTATTTATTATTAGCTGGTAATTCCTGTTTTACCTTGTACTTAAGCTTTTCGTAGGAACACCATTTGTTTTAAAAAAAAGCTAACTTCAAGGGGTAATGATAACATCGTTTACACTAGAATTATGATTTATTCTTTTTTTAATTATTACTAGTTATTAATAATACTTATAAAAGTGGATACTCCGTTTGAAACTATTTCCACCTCAGTGAAATTGGTTGACTTCATTGTTTGGGTTTTTGAGTTATAATGTAATAAAAAAGAAGTAGAAGAAAGAAGAACAAGAAATTCAAAATTTTTGCTATGATATTTACAGACATTCCCAGAACTTGTGACTCAGTCATTACATAGATATTGTTATAAGAGGAAACTGTGTAAGTATTATAAAGTTCTGATGACCTATTGAGGAGATATCTAAAATACCATTTCGATTAACAATCCGAGCCATCCCTACATAGGCAGTGTTACCGCCTGCCTGATTATCACCTGTCATGGAGTGTGCATTTGGCATGCTAAGTTGTAAAAAAATATCAATACAACTTCAAATCATTGAAAATCATTGTTGAAGAACTACTGAGTGGTGTTTTGCAAGAAGCTATTGATTCAGATGTGTATTGTAGAAAGAAAAGCCAATTGGAGCAGATCCATACGACTGTGAGTACATATGATGATCAAACCAGTTCTACTCATGATGCTGTTGCGAAAAAAAGAGAAGGATGGAGATCTGCCACTCCATCTACTCGTAGTAAAGCGTCTGACGCCCTAAATCTTTGCAGCTGGCCACCATAATTATGCTCGTAATAGCCTATACTACAATTGAGCGCTTGAAGCCATGCCACCAGATGTTCTTGAAAAGTTCCTGAAAGAAGAGCATGCTTATTGTCATACTCCAGATATTTGGAATGACATGTTGACATATATGATGATCGAAGTAACTTTTAAGAGGCATTGAAAGAGGCTAAGTGGAGCTGTTGGCATCACATTGAAACCAAATACTGAATATTTAGAGCTCTGAGCTTTTACACTTGCAATATTCTGGCAAGAGACACTGCTGATATTACTGTTGATGAAAAGTCTATCCATACACTTACACAAAGAGGAAATGAAAGCTCGAACTGTAGCAAGTGCCAAGAATAGAGTGATAATTAATGGATCAGTAATGTTATGTGTGATTCACATTCCAACAAATGGAAGAGTGCCACAACTATATCGACAATGTTTTTGTACTTCTAACATCAAGGATGAGAGAGGCTGATGTGTATTTAGTCTTTGACAGATATGAGGATTATAGTATCAAAGGTGTCATTTGAACAGCAAGAGAAAAAGAGGTAAGCCAGTGACACAATCTCTCTTGCTTCATCCTATTTCAACCATGAAACATGTTATTAAATGTAACTTATAATAAGGTACAGCTGGTTGATCTGATTGTTGAAGCTCTACAAAAGCAGATAAAGCAGTTAGTTTTGTAGCATCATAAGCTGGTGATAACAGGTTGTGATCCACTGCCAGTGTAAAATCAACTGTGTTCTGCTAATCCATAAATACGACTTGAAAACAAGTCAGGACGATATTGAGGTAATCATCATTCATCAGATGGTGTCTATTGCTGAAGAAGGTGTAGTAAATACCAGTATAAAGGTAACTTCTGATGATATTGATGTGTTTGTTCTCCTATTCAAACAACATGACAAATAATTCGCATACCCTTTGATGATAGAACCAGTATATAAAGAAAGAAAAGCCATTAATATCCAGTAACTGTGTACAAACACATAAACATTGTTCCTCAGCTAATAGAAGCCCATGCTACATCAGAATGTGACACTGTCGTTCAATATTGGGGTATTGGTATAAAGTAAAATAATTCAAATGCTTCAGACAGATTATGAAATGCCTATCCTTGGGAACTCTTAAGCAACACTTGAAGATATTCTAAAGGAATCGATCACATTTATAGCTGTATGTTATGGACCAGCGGGAGCAGCAACAATGGCAGATGTACGATACAATGCATAAAAACAGAAAGCAGCCAGATCAAACATACTATCAGCACCAAAAACTGAGACATTGAACAAAACGTTAAGAGAGGCCACTGACGAACACGTATTTGAAAAAATATCTACAGAACCCAGTTCGTCCATCTTAAGTTCTGTCATGTACAGGGAAACTCAAAACAAAACTCTGCAATTTATGTTGTTACCTAAAGATGTATCACCAGCACCACAATACATCTTAAAACTAATCCAGCACACTGTTCATGTACATCAGCAAATTACCATGTATAATATAGTAATAATGTGAAACTGAAAATGTTTGATGCAATGAACGTACTAAAACGGTTCAAGAAACATCTGGCGAAGAAAATGACAATAAAGAGTATTAAATAGAACTTTAGTATAATGGACTATTAAATTGTGACAGCTGTCCAGAAAAGACGTATCAATGTATCCGAGCTAACATGGTTACTAATGAACCGAGTGGTTGGTCTTTTTTAAAGTCACCACAGGTAAATATATATACATTTTTTATTTTTAACTTTCACATTTTTGGAAATGACAGACAACTGTGCATGAAATAATATGGTTAAACAGTAAAAGGGGGTATTCTTAGTGTCATATATGATAAAAAATCAAAAACCCATTTTTCAAAACGCTAAAGGTCACCATGTATACACACACCATTTTCTTTTTATATATGGTCTGAAGATATAAAATAAAATTAAAAATCCATTGTAGGACATATATTGCACGGTTACCGAAAAGTGCCTCTACACTATAGTAAAAAAACATAAAATTACCAATACGATAAAATATATGGATCCAACATTTAGTGGAAGGCATAAAAACAAGTCAATAATTTGAGGCTTAATCAATGACAAGTTGTAAGTTTACCCATTTTAACAAGTTGTCAATGTCATGTATTTCAGTTTTAATAAATTCTGCTATCAGAAAGTATTTGAAAGTATTCTTCTTTTAAGGGACAGTGTCATAAAAACAAAGAAATCTTGATATATTATACAGAGGATGAATACGTTATATTGAAACGATTTTGGAACCTCGTCACATCATTACATTCCATGTCGCCACGTCCGATCATGCTTTATCTGACCACTGTGTATCTTGGCAATAACTATTGCAAAAGGCTCCTTCATAAGGCTGTTATATTCAATATATACTACTCCTCCCTGTAGCTTTCCAATAATCCATCTAGTGTACGAGGATGACGAGGATGACCCATTTCAACAATCTGATTGCAAAGAAATCCATAGGCGCTGCGTTCGTCAATTCGATCGGCATCTCTTCGTAGGAAGTAACATGATAATTAGTTTTATTCTCCAGATGCTTGAGATATGAGACAGTTAAGCAGATATGTTGTGTACACACTACTTCTATTGCTTTTCCAGACAAAGATCCTTCTTGATTAAGTTGCGTACTTTTGCCTGGGACATCTAAAAGGCTTTTACCACTGACTTGTTACAAGATGCAGGACTTTGCTTTCCATGGTTGGGGTACAACTTGTTGTAGGTCTCTTTATGGATAGCCCTGGTACCTCAAACTGATCCACATTCCTTTGTTTTTCAACGCCGTTAAGCACAAGGAATATCCCCGTCTTGGAAATTATAAGCCCCCGATATGAACACATCTTTATAATTGTATAATCATTTTGAGTCGGAAAAGGCTATTCCAAACTTTTCCCAAGTCGATCAGTTTTCGGCGTCATTACGTTATTTGCAAAACGCAAAAAATGTCAAATTGTAGTTGTGATACAAGCCGTTCCATCGCGACTTTATAACGGCTATGGTTGTCACGTAAGTTGATGATTTGAATATTTAAAACCGTTTTCTCTATATAAACGTTTATTTCGAACCTCGACGTTACAGGCTATACTACGCAAAACGATACATAATAACTTTGATATAACTAAAAGAAACACGTGATTCTTATCGCCCTGTGATAGCTTCCAGGAAATTGTAAAAATTATTATACATAAAAAAAGATGATATGACTATGATAAAATACCTTTGTATATCTGTCAGTTTTGAGAAATTGAAGTTACATATTCTTATCGGAAAACTAAGAAGTACAAAAGCCACAAGAGTATTCTCAACATTGATATTAAGAGTTAGGCTTAGTAAACTTGAACACTCTCGTTAAAGTTTAATTTCTAAGTTTTTATTGATTGAAAGTTGTTTTAATTTATTTTAGAACCATTCAACAACTATTATAGACGTTGTTGTAAGGAATGAAGTAAATTTTAAACAATGTATCGCAGTAAGTATCAATAAATGTTTAGATTCCACAATGATAACATTTAGCAATCAAAATCTAAAAGAAGGATAGTGACTGAATTAAAACCAAAACAACTTTAACCCAATCAATGTAAACATTGCAAGATTTAACTTAATTTTATATTTTTCCAATTATTTGAATCTTTATTGAAGTAAATAGAATTCTTAGATTAAACTATTAGATTAAGTTCGAAAGCTAAGAACGAAAAAACAAAGAATAAGATTGATGTTATCTTTCAGAAACTTCCGAAACAACTCGTATAGATTTAGACCTTGAAATGGGAACAAGATCACATCCGCTATTTCATTGCAGCAGGGTTTTTGCTAATTCTATTAGCAAAAGTAAAATGGGAAAGGGTGAGTTGCGACGCTATCTCTATTCGAAACAAGAATGTTTGTTACTTCAGTAAGGAATGCACGATCACTGCTTATACACACACTATTTTACTGCTAGAGCTTCACAGTTTTATTGAGGAAATTATTTTTCTTTAGTAAAGGTAGCACATAAAACTGCCCTGGGGAGGGAGATTACTTTTAATGTTTTAGGATATCTTATTTATAAGGGCATGTCAATAAAAACGGGCAATGTGACAAAAAATAGGTAAATTTTCTTCTGGCGCAATTATTTTTGCAATCGAATAATAAGGAAATGAAGACACTTCTTTTTTTTTGTAAAAACGTCAATTAAGCTTACTATTAAAATATATTAATTAACTTAGCGCTCCCTCAAAATGCCTACTAGTTGTGGGTGATGTGGTATTAAAAATATGGAACACATAGTATCTTGATTCAGGATGATCTTGTGTGGTCATCTAAATAGGTAAATGCGAATGCATTATTACATCGTTTTCAAAATTTGTATTTACCCTTTATTTTTTAGAATTAGCTCTTTTCCACAAGCCATACTGTAGCTTTAATAATAATAATAATAAAAACTAGAAGAAATCTAGTATTTTTGTTCATTCCGAGTTACCCATTTTTATTGAGATATGTTCTTCTTCATAAATCAACGAGATATTCCAAAAGTGGACAGGTGTTATCTTAAATGAAAATAAGATGCGAAAAAAAAACGTTAAATGTTACTGCAGTTCTTTTCTCGAATTTATATCTTTAAATTGATAACGTTTTTGCATATTGCTCTTGGTTTTCTAGGGAAGTTTGTTGGAACAAATGTCAAACATATAAGACTTATAAAGCCTACAAAAATACCTTCAAAAGCTTTGTCCATAATAATATAAAAAGTGCGTTACTAGTAAAAACCTTGAATATTTTAGAAAATTTCAAAATATTTCTAATATTATAAAATATTTAAAGCTAGATTTTCACTTTGCGTGTAAAAACAAAACAAAAAACTCACGTACGTCTCATCTCATAATGTTCACTACATTAATTAAGTTGAGTTGTTGTATAAGAACAACAATTTAACAATGAATTGTGTAAGAACGTTTTGAGTTAGGTAGAACCCGTTGCTTTCATCCTGAAGTTCAGTTTTTCTTACCTTGTTCTTCGAAAAGATCTAAAAAAATAGATGTCTACAGAAATTTACCATTGAAACTTGTACAGTTGTTTTCAATTTTCATATATTATAACAAATCCAAAAGTTAATTGTCTTATAAAACTGGAGACAAGAATCACCCTGCAAACCATGACTCCACTGGTTTTTCTACTTCTGTCAACCAAAAAAAAAAAGAAAAAGAAAAGCACTTTTTTCTAGCTTTTTCCCGAATTTAATAGTTTTGACCCATTTTCTTATGTCTTTATTTCATTCTTTGCCTAGTTAACAAGGCCTACAACCTCTGTCCGAAAGATTGGATGCTTAACTATAACGCTGATTATTTTCAATCTGTCCGTGGAATTAGGTAACTCCCTACTCTTGACAGAGGTGTTATGACCAGTTTTGATATTCTTCTGTATTTGCCAAGATTCTTATAGATGGAACAGCCAATCTCTCTCTTTACAAACTTTTCTTTGATAATACCCTGATCAATGGTTTGTCCAAAAACCCATGATAAGTCTATGTTGGGTCTCACAACCAAATATCCACATTTCGTGTGTTAGCATCTCCTTTATGTAAAACCAATTGGTGTTGCTATATGATCTCCCACTAGAATCCACGCCAGCTAACACATTCTTCTGTCACCATAAACACACGTGACTTCACACTGATCCTACCGATTCTATACAGAAAGTAAATTGATGACACCTTTATTCTTTTCCTCAAACAGGAACATTTTTCCAGTTTTCTTGAATACCTTAACTAACAACACCACTGAACTTGTGAAACTGAGTAAAGCAACATCTTACTTTGTTGGAATATTACTGACTACTTGCTTTTCTATTTATGTTTACCGTAAAGAAGAATTTTTCTAGCGTCCCCCAAACTTAATAGATGTATTCTGTCTGTTACAAACTTTATTTTTTTATTGTCTTGTCAACTAACAGAGCTTCCAGACAACTCTTTTTTTTCCTTTAAGATGTCTTGAAACGTAAAGCTACCATAAACATCTGTTGGCAAAAGTCACGTATAAGTTGTTATTTCAAAGTTGAAAATTCCAATTCCTATAAAATTCTTTTTCAACCTTTCTTAAATACTTCAGTACTGGTATCTTGAACGTAAAATACCTACCTTTTCTAAATATGCGATTAATTCCCGTATTCCATATATTGACAAACAAAACTTCACTGCTAGAACCACCTCATGGATTTTATGTTATCCCCAATTAGACTTTAGAATGGTTTTTGAAACCTTCTTATGACTAAAAAGTAACAAAGGTTGACCTCCAATTTACTTTTGTTCGTTTCTCGTGTGGATACTGCAAAGTCTCACAGGTTAGCAAAACGAAACACCATGTTAAAATAGAAGCTTATAAAAATCAGAACAAGATAAGTAATTCCTGCCCATCTTTGACAATGGAAAAACAGGACATTATTTGTTATTATATTAAAAATTACAGCTTTTACAGTAAGGAAGATTACATTTTAGAACAGGTACGACATTTTGATCACTGATGCGATCATTCTCAAGTACGCAAGAATGATCGCACCAGTAATCGTTTAGAGTTTACTTAACCAGTAAATAAATTCTAAACGAAACTATTAGAACATTATTTGAATTACTGCTAAACCTGACATTGAACTTTTATTGAAAAACACTTTGTCAATTAAACAATGCCTTCCAGTTCTTAACAATTCACAGTTATTTTATTTTATTTCTTTCT